AGGGAAGGAAAATCCTGTGTCACAAACCTACTAGAGTTTTATGACAAGGTGACAGAAGTAAGACAAGAGAGAGAGGGGTGGATCGACTGCGTATTTTTGGACTGCAAGAAGGCTTTCGACACAGTTCCTCACAAGAGGTTACTGCAAAAGCTAGAGGACCAGGCACACATAACAGGAAAGGCACTGCAATGGATCAGAGAATATCTGACAGGGAGGAAACAACGAGTCATGGTACGCGACGAGGTGTCAGAGTGGGCGCCTGTGACAAGCGGGGTTCCACAGGGGTCAGTCCTAGGACCTGTGCTGTTCTTGGTATACGTGAACGACATAACGGAAGGGATAGACTCAGAAGTGTCCTTGTTTGCAGACGATGTGAAGTTAATGAGAAGAATCGAATCGGACGAGGATCAGGCAGGACTACAAAGAGATCTGGACAGGCTACAAGCCTGGTCCAGCAACTGGCTCCTTGAATTTAACCCTGCCAAATGCAAAGTCATGAAGATTGGGGAAGGGCAAAGAAGACCGCAGACACAATATAGTTTAGATGGCCAAAGACTGCAAACCTCACTAAAGGAAAAAGATCTGGGGGTGAGTATAACACCGAGCATATCTCCTGAGGCGCATATCAATCAGATAACTGCTGCAGCATACGGGCGCCTGGCAAACCTACGGATAGCGTTCCGATACCTCAGTAAGGATTCGTTTAAGACTCTGTACACCATCTACGTCAGGCCCATACTGGAGTATGCAGCACCAGTTTGGAATCCACACCTAGTCAAGCACGTCAAGAAATTAGAGAAAGTGCAAAGGTTTGCAACAAGACTAGTCCCAGAGCTACGGGGATTGTCCTATGAAGAAAGGTTGAGGGAAATCGGCCTGACGACACTGGAGGCCAGGAGGGTCAGGGAGACATGATAACGACATATAAAATACTGCGCGGAATAGACGAGGTGGACAAAGACGGGATGTTCCAGAGATGGGACACAGACACAAGAGGTCACAATTGGAAGTTGAAGACTCAGATGAATCAAAGGGATGTTAGGAAGTATTTCTTCAGTCATAGAGTAGTCAGGCCATGGAATAGCCTAGAAAGTGATGTGGTGGAGGCAGGAACCATACATAGTTTTAAGGCGAGGTATGATAGAGCTCATGGGGCAGGGAGAGAGAGGACCTAGTAGCAATCAGCGAAGAGGCGGGGCCAGGAGCTGTGACTCGACCCCTGCAACCACAAATAGGTGAGTACAAATAGGTGAGTACACACACACACACACACACGTAGGGATATTAGGAAGTATTTCTTCATCCTTAGAGTTGCCAGGAATTGGAACACTGGAAAGTGAAGCAGTGGAGACAGGATCCATATATAGCCTTGAGAAGAGGTACGATAAGGCTCTTGGAGCAGGGAGAGAGTGGACCTAGTAGCGACCAACGAAGAGGCGGGTCCAGGAGCTGCGAATCGACCCCTACAACCATAAGTAGGAAAGTACACACTCTCACAATCATTAAGGTGCATTTATATGTAGGGTGAGCGTTTGTGTACGTGTGTGGCTGTGTGGGAGTGGATGCAGGAGGAGAATATTGACCAGAGTGCCTCCAGTAACCACACACACACACACACACACACACTAGAGCTAAAATCGAAGCTTAAAGGTGAAGTTGTATGAGATAGGAAGTGAGTGGTGGGGAAGGGTAGAGGAAGCGTAGAGGAGCAGGGGGAAGACAAAGGGGCAGGAGAAGGAAAGAGGGGGGTGGAAAGGGGAAAGAGAGGATGAAACACAACTGTTAGGAAGGTAGGTACTTTTAGAAGCATGGAGTACCAGTACCTGTTGGTGTAGGATACCAGGGTAAGACTGATCATGATGACGAGGAAGAAAATATTCACTAGATGTTAGTAATACAATAACCATAGATGAGAGTCAGAGAGAGAGAGAGAGAGAGAGAGAGAGAGAGAGAGAGAGAGAGAGAGAGAGAGAGAGAGAGAGAGAGAGAGAGAGAGAGAGAGAGAGAGAGAGAGTGAGTGAGAGAGAGAGAGAGAGAGAGAGAGAGAGAGAGAGAGAGAGAGAGAGAGAGAGAGCATAAGTACGAAAACTCTGGTGTTAAGCAGCTCGAGGCTTGTGAGGACCTGAAGCTTCATGGCAGCCCCTACATGCAAGGTAGTCTACCCTGGGGACCTCCTCCTTACCCTGACTGACACACCTTCAGCACAACTGGCAGCTATCCGGAATGCAAATGGTGCGCTTATTCACACGGACAATAAACTACCGTGCTTCAAGCTGGTCACTGATGATGTGCGTGCACATACACACACACACACACACACACACACACATACACACACACACACACACACTCACACACACACACACACACACACACGGGCGCCTACCTCAGAACAGCATTCCGACATCTTAATAAGGAATCGTTCAGGACTCTGTACACCTTGTACGTTAGGCCTATATTGGAGTATGCAGCACTAGTTTGGAACCCACACCTAGCCAAGCACGTAAAGAAACTAGAGAAAGTGCAAAGTTTTGCAACAAGACTAGTCCCAGAGCTAAGAGGTATGTCCTACGAGGAGAGGTTAAGGGAAATCAACCTGACGACACTGGAGGACAGGAGAGATAGGGAGGACATGATAACGACATACAAAATACTGAGAGGAATTGACAAAGTGGACAAAGACAGGATGTTCCAGAGATGGGACACAGCAACAAGGGGACACAGTTGGAAGTTGAAGACACAGATGAATCACAGGGATGTTAGGAAGTATTTCTTCAGCCACAGAGTAGTCAGGAAGTGGAATAGTTTGGGAAGCGATGTAGTGGAGGCAGGATCCATACATAGCTTTAAGCAGAGGTATGATAAAGCTCACGGTTCAGGGAGAGTGACCTAGTAGCGACCAGTGAAGAGGCGGGGCCAGGAGCTTGGACTCGACCCCTGCAACCTCAACTAGGTGAGTACAACTAGGTGAGTACACACACACACACACACACACACACATCTTAGGGTGTGTATATACCAAGCACATCCACTGAGGAGCACATCAACCAAATAACTGCTACAACATATGGGTGCCTGGTAAACCTAAGAACAGCATTCTGACATCTCAGGAAGTTGTTCCGTACCCTGTACATCGTGTACGTCAGGCCCGTATTGGGGTATGCAGCACCAGTATGGAACCCACACCTGGCCACGAAAGTCAGGAAACTAGAGAAAGTGCAAAGGTTTGCAACGAGACTAGTCCCGGAGCTAAGGGGCATGTCCTACGAGGAGAGGTTAAGGGAAATCAACCTGACGACACTGGAGGACAGGAGGGACAGGGGGGACATGATATCGACATATAAAATACTGAGGAATCGACAAGGTGGACAAAGATAGCATGTTCCATAGACGGGACACAGAAACAAGAGGTCACAATTGGAAGTTGAAGACTCAGATGAGTCACAGGGATGTTAGGAAGTATTTCTTCAGCCACAGAGTTGTCAGGAAGTGGAATAGTCTGGATAGTAATGTAGTGGAGACAGGTATCATACATAGCTTTAAGAAGACGTATGATAAAGCTCATGGAGCAGGTAGAGAGTGACCTAATAGCGACCAGTGAAGCGGTGAAGCCAGGAGCTGTGAATCGACCCCTGCAACCACAATTAGGTGAGCACACACAAACAAAATTCACTTAACTACAGAAATAAAGGTCAGAATATTTATTCCTTTTGTTTTTCAACAACTTTTTTCCAAGTTAATTTTAGTGCAAATTTGTGTAAAAATATAAAATTGAATGTTGTCATTTATTTTTTCCAAAATATTAACTCCAAAAAAAAAAAAATACACATGAGTGCGTTTGTGTGTTTGTCGCTGCTGATGCTTGACACTGTGCATATAGTACACACCGGATACAATGAACGACGGAGTTATGGGCATAACCAGCATGGTGATGCGCTCTTTTAAGCACACTTGCTGTCTTCCACCAGGTAGCAAGACCTTAAAAGAAGAAACGCATTCACCGTCATTCAGTCAATCATTGCCTTGCCAGAAGCGTGCTGACGTCAGGGCTCAGATGTCCCTCAGAACTGTGACGTCCCCAGCCATCCTTCAGAGTGCAGACACTGTACTTCCCACCTCCACGACTCAATCCAACTAACCAGTTTCCCTGAATCCCTTCATAAATGTTACCTTGCTCACACTCCAACAGCACACGCAGTAAAACCTACTTTATCCCCACTCACTCCTCCCTAGCACGCTAACACAAGTTCCCTGAATGTCAAAGACTCTCCTAACACAGATACTATACCTCTCACATATACTATACCTGTCACATACATGTAGTGGCACTCCCTGTACACACCTGTTGTATGCATCTTCAACATACCGTATAATTTGACTTTATAATTACATTCTACACTGGGAATCCCCAGCTAGCAGCAGTTTTGCTATCCCAGGGTAACCCAGGAAAGCCAACCAATGTGGCTTATGTCTGTGAGACATTCTATCCCTCATCAATCTCTTCTACTGACTGATTGCATTCTTGGCCACGTCTTACCACGCCTAGGATTCGACTCGGGTTCACTCGTTTGTGAGCTGGACGCTGCTCCAACGCTGAACTGCGGGGTGTGGTGGGGGGGTGGGGGGGGGGGGTAGGTGTGTTGCAACAACAACACAAACCAGTGAACACTGCAACGAAATCAGTGTGAAGTTGCAAGAAGCTGCTGGCGCGTGTGTTGACGCACCTACCAGCAGTTATGGTGGTCTGTGGCCCACCATCATGGCTTCGTGAGGATCCTCGTAGTTTTGGTGGTCTGTGACCTGTCATCATGGCTTCCTGAGAACCTTCGTAGCTATGGTGGTCTGTGGCCTACCATCATGAAGACCTGAAGGTTCTCGTAGCTATGGTAGTCCGGGGTCCACCATCATGGCTTCCTGAGGGCCCCGAGCACCACTAACGAGGCCACCATCGCCTTGTTTAGTATACAGACACAAGTCCCTGTACTAACTAGCACACTCAC